CAAACAAACAAACAAACAAACCTGACTGGAGCAACCTTTGTGTGCAAAACACATGCCACAGGTACTGTAAAAAAGCATGCTTTTTGGAGCTGTCATGCCAAAAGTGCCACATGTCATTTTTTGTGCTCTTTGGGAATCTTGACCTGCACTAGGTGCAACAGGACACAAAACGGGTGCCGCATTGATGAAACCCTACACAGCACACTCTCCAGTTCCACTTTTGGATTGAAACGTTTGATGACGGGGTCACTCGTGGATGCGCTGCAACTTGCAATATTTGGCAAACAAGAGTGTTTTCCCACGGGGTCTACGGCGGACATTTGTGGGAATAGGGCGGAAACTCGCGGACTGGACATGAAAGCAGCGTATTAAACACCTCACAAACACTTCAGCTTGACTGTTTTGTGAAGCCCAGTCCTTGCCAGACACCTGAGAAGATGAATTTTCCCAGTGGTTGGTCCGCCCCATCGCATGGCACCTGAACATCCAGCGCCTTGAAGTCTCACAGCTTCGTTTTGGAATGGGGTGGTCCCTGAAGGAATCTCCTGTACAGAAAGGATCAGGCCAGTCTGGCCATGTATAAGTCTTGATTCTAGGACCAGGAACCAACGGGGACCACCATGGTCCAGGAACGGACCAACGCGGAAAACCACCAACGCGGTCACTACCAACGCGGAAAACCACCGTGACGTGACCGAACCATGTTTTTGCCGCCAGGCTTTCCAGGTGCTGGAGTACCTCGACAAGGCGCTCCGCGATCCGCCCGTTTGAGGTCCGGTGCCGCTCGAAAAAGCCCGCCCCACCGGCCGCCGGGAGGGTTCAGAGACTGTTCTTGAGCTGCGAGCCGCGGAGGTGGGTCAGAAGTTGGACGATTTCGAGAAGACCTTCAAGTATCTCAATGACCGCCGCGTTTGCGGGCCGCCTTTTTGGACCATCGTGACCACTTCTTTTTTGGTTGGAAGATGTTCGGTGCGAGTTGTGAGAGGACAGGACCGCCCGGTTCATGGTAACACGTTCCTGGGGTCGTAGATACAGTCATTTGTTGCTTCAAGAATGTGCTAACACCAGGAGCCTTTAGGATTGCTTGCCTTGAAACGGACCCGAGGAAATACATCGAAATTCAAAGTAGTGACATGGTCGCCAGGAAATATATCGAAATTCAAAGTAGTGACATGGTCGCCAGGAAATACATGGAAATTCAAAGTAGTGACATGGTCGCCAGGAAATACAGACTCGATTGGGGGCTCCAGGTTGGTGGTTGGTGGGTTCACCATCGATTGGTTGGTGAATGTTCCAAAAACTCGTATTCGGTGTGGGCTCTGGTGCAGTGCGCGAGCAGCGCTAGTAGAGTCGCTAGTAGATCCAGCCTGGATTTTGTTTCCCCAGCAACTCTGGGATCGACCAGGCTCCAAGGCACCCGCGTCATATTTCTTTCTCTTCGCGACGTCGGGGCGTCGGGGCGCGTTTGTGCGACGTGTGGATTGTACTCGGAGTGCCTTCATTCTCTTGCTAGCCCGAGTCAGGATTGCTATGTTCTCTTCATGCAACAACCACAAGATCTGGAGTTGCTGGAGGAGGTCCCGACCCACGCGAGTTCGCCGTAAAAACGCGGCGAGCCGGGCTTGCGGCATTCGCCGTCCGACGGCGACCGGCGGAGTCTCCATCCGCCGACCCTTCGCGAAATGCACGGAGTGCGGAACGAACGCAGTGTTTGGACCAGACACGCCGAGTTCGGCCGATTTCATGCCTCCTTGGACCCCCCACTTTGGCCAAAGGCGAGGCAGACCTGGGAGCTGCGCTACCGCCTGTGGGTGCCTGGCTAAGCTGGGGGGGCGGGGGGCGAAGAAGCAGGGTTCCTCTGTTCGGCCGTCTGAACAGAGGGCCTCACTATAAGCGTCCCACTTCGTCCCAAGGGTCTGACCGTCTGACCACTGACCGATGTTCAGCGATGTCATCCGTTTGAGCATCTGACCTCGTCCTTCAGAGGGAGAAGCAGGATGTGACAGGTGTGACATAGACGAGACAGTGAGGTCAGACGGTTCGTAGGTCTTGAAACCTCTGACCATCTTCCCTCAGTCGCCCGCCTTTCCACTTCTTGACCTTGCAGTCCCTAGTGAATGTGGGAATGTGTGACTGGACTATCCGACGGCTCGAGTCCCAAGGATTCTGACAGACAACTCTGGGAGCCCATCATACTTTCTTAATCTTTTTTGCTGGCCTGCCATGCAGATTGGAGCATTTATGCTCGAATCCCCAAAGAAGCCTGAGGACGTTTTGAGTTGCGCCTTGGTGGCATCCGACATCCCTGTCTGCATGGACATGAGCAAATGGATTTATGATATTGACAATCTGTAGCTGTTAGTTTCGAACTGTCCAGAGTCTATTGCGCATCACTGGGCGTGCAAAGTGAAACCGTGCCAAGGTATCATCATCAGATCTTGAATATTCTTAAGCCATACTGGGCCATACTATACCTGCTCTAGATCCTTCATGCTTTTGGTGTCGGGTCTTTGAAAGGCTCGCGACTGTTCTTAGACATGCACAGACATGTATGTTGAACAAGTGCGTGTGGATACGTGAGCACCGCAAGAAACCTCCCAAGATGAACTAAGTAAAGGCCTTGTCATATGGTACTTGGGCGTAAGCAAAAACCTGAAGAGCGTAAGGTTGTGTAAGGGAGTTGTGAGACATGCATGTTGCGTAAGCTTGCCATATGGTTGTGTTTTCATTAGTAGATTCTTAGCACACACTTGTCAAGAAAGGAACTGCTGTATGGACCATGAGAGCTTTGAAACCCTTGGGAACTGAGATTTGTGTGCGCAGGATGTTGGGATGTTGGGTGATGGGGTGTGGGTGGGTAGGTGGGTAGGTGGGTCGCGTCGTTTCGGAGGCATGATGTGAATACATTGTCACACGTTAGTTTCATAGTTTCATCGCATGTCGTTCTCGTTGCACGTGCATCGCTTCGGAAACAACTTTTTTCAAGCTCAAATCGGCGCAATTCGCGCGCACATTTTAACCATGTGAATGCACGGAGCTGCTGCGTTGAAGGATTTTCAGCCTAACATAGCTTCATACTGAGATTTGTAATGTACTCTGCTGTACCGGCAGAGACACTTTTCAACAGTTTTGTTTTTTGAACAAAAACACGGTCTATGGCTGCGGGTCAAATCCGGACCCCCAGTCCATAGTAGGGTTTGTAGTCTATATTCTGTGTACATGTTCGGCGGTCAAAATCCCGGCACCCCCAGGTAGTCAACCCACAACCATTTTATGGGTTTGACGGAGTATACACAGTATACAACTGATCTGTCCAACACTCAAAAAGGCTCTGAAGGGGCTGGTTTCGTCGTTCCAGTCTGGTGGAATGGTTTGGATTGTTCGGCGATGCTCGGCTCAGCATTGGTGTGAACCCCCCTGAATCATTGGAGGAACCCTGACAAATCGAGGTTTGGGAAAGGAAAGAGGACGGTGCAAGGTTTGGATTGGAGGTTCCTTCAAAAAGAGTGTGTTTGATAGTTCCAGGTATATGCACAAAAACGACTGATAAGACGCAGGCAAAATTGTAGTCAGGAATTATTGTTGTCGCGAATGTTGCGTAAAAGGGCGGACAAACTACTATAAAATTCTTTGTTGGCGGCTAGAGGAGGCTTCAGGTGGGATGATTGTTCGAAAATGCAGATCTATCAAGGCTGGCAGTTGCTTGAAAACAGGAAGGATGTTCTCAAGTTGACTGACCCCGGAAAATGTTTGATTGCAAATTGGATGTGTTGTATCCAGGTTTATGCACATCCGTTTCAATTGAGGAGTGGATCAACTTATATAAACGATGATGCCAGGACGTAGACAAGAAAACCACTACTTTTCAAGACAAAATAACATGTGGGACACTTTCAACCAAGATGTTTTCAAGATGCTGTGGATGTTTTAAGAACCTTATCCCTTTTCCAGACTTTTCACGGGATTCTTAAACCACACAATGGGAAGCGGACATGCGGACATGAGGAGTGTTGCTGGATGAAGTGCAAGAATCAAGAAGGAAGGGGGCGTGTCAGCGACCGTTTGAACATGTTTGAACGTAAACATAGAAAGAGGATGAAAGAGGAATGCTACAGGTGGCTCCCGAAAGTTGGTTCCGGGGGAGAAAAAGGGCAGATGGATTTGTCCTTTTTTTCGGCACACCTCAGTACCAGCCAAGAAGAACATCATGATCAATCCGAACTTCAAAAGCAACACGACAACCTTTTGGAGACGAAAACAACATGACTTGGGCTGATGAAATACACCCCGCGCTCAGCAGTTTCGTATTGGCCCTGCACTGGTGCAAAACACAAAAACAGATGCAGGGCCAATACGTTTTCGACTCTCCACGTGCGCCCCACTTTTCGAGTCGATGTGGGGCCTCTTTTTTTCGTCGCCGAGTCGGCCCAGTGTTCAGGTTCGGTTCTTCCAGCGCTCCGGGGTCTTTTCTACGGTTGGACCGGACGGACCGGACGGACGCCGGACGGAGCCTTCAGTGACAGAGTTTTTTTTTGTTTTAGTCAGTATATTTCTTATTGATGACACCAATTTGAACTTCTTTGTTTTTATTTGTGTTTGTTTTTCAGGGAGGTTTGGTCGTTGATTGTCAAGCCATATAGATCTTGATTTCAAGGGAAGACTCAGCTATTCTGCGCCGCAACTAAGGGGAAGCAACGCCTTTTTTTGAGGATGCAACTCAGCATGACTTTCACAGCGAGTCGTGTTCACCAGTGGAAGGGCGACACAGAAATCGCTTCATCTACGTGAACGGAGTGAGGCGCCCAAGGCGTACTGCTGCATTGGTTTCGGAAGAAATGAGGACGTGCTGCTGGGTGGTGCTTGAGATTTTGTTATTTGTTCCATCCTTTTTTGGGAATTGTTTGAATCACCAACTGACAAGTATGGGGATATATGAGTTGAATCGCCAACCAGGCTATGTTTTAACGCAGCATGTCAATGAGCCTGGCTTCAGCTTCGGCGAGGACCTATGCCCGATTCATGTTGCAGCGCACATGGGAGACTCAGCCCAGTCATTTGTGGAATTTGCAAAGCTCACGGTGGGGAAGTTTTCCAAGGTCTATGGAATTAGGGGGTCATTTCTGTTTTTTGCGTTGGATGCTTTGGAGTGCAGCCGCGCAACATTAAGGAGACCTACGAGCACTGCGATTTCTTCTACTGACGGGGGCCTCTGTTGAGCAGAGGACTGCGACAGGTCAATCTGCACTCGACCTTGCTCAAGCTGCAAATCACCGAGGCTCGCATGACCAGATCATTACTTTGCTGCAGGCAACGCCTTCCGAGGAGATCCTCCTCGAACAAGTGGCACCTCTTTCAGAGGGTGAGGGAGACGAAGACTGACGGTTTTTCGAATTATCCAAATAGAATCCTTATACTTCGAGGTGAATTACAATGCCGTCACCGATGTGAGATAGGAAACAAACAAAAACGACCCTGACCTACTTTGACCAAGCTCCACAGCAACTTCCCAAACATTCCGCCTGCTTTCTATCAGCTAGGACACACACACACATATTATATATATATATACACATACGACATCCTAAAACAACACATTTCTACCAGCACGTCCATAAATTAATGACCCCTTAGAGGTCATTCGGGGGTGTCCATGAACCACCCCAACTGGGGGTCCAGGTATACGACCTTTCTTCTTCCCTGAGTGAAATGGCTTGACAACTCCCACGACCCAGCTGACGTGAGGACTTCATCGACCAAAAGCTGTGGATGTTGTCGGGTGGGACTCCCAAGTCACGAACGTCACCATCCATTTCTTGGAAACATTTGTTTTGATTAGGGTTCCATGATGAATACGGGTCTCAGCCGTGCTCAGCCGTGGGGCTGGTATCGCTTGCCCAAGTCACTGAACAATTCCTGCGGTTTGTCACCACGTGTTGCGATTCACCAAGATACATCATGCTTCAATTCTTTAATTTAATTGAACGGATGGCCAAAATGGCCGTTGCTTGCTTTTGGTTTGGATAACGGAATGCAAGCACATGCACCAACCTCAACTTTTAATCAAGAATTCAGATTTTCTGAAAAAGGCTGGACACCAAATGCGGAGTCCAAGTCTACTCTCCTCAACTTTTCGAGTCTCTTTCGGCACCTCGCCCCAGTGGGTCTTGCGCTCACAGACCGATCTCGTTGAGCTGCTGTGCGGCACTCGGCAACGACAAAGGTCGCGGACCGCGCGGAGAGACCGAAGACGCGCGAAGAGACGGCCCGGCCCGTCGGCGTGTGGCCATCTCCCCAAGAGGTTTGGGCGAAACGAGCCGGTCACCGGTCGGTTCCGACCGTGGCCTGGTCTATTGATTCAGAAGATAGACAGAATTGAGGGGGGACACATGGTTCCGTTATAAGGTTTTTGTTCCGCAAAAGGCTTCCTCCAAAAGCGCCAGTTTTGGTTCGGGTGCCAAACGCCAACGACCCCAGACCCATCTCGCTGTGGCGCCGCACAGCGCCCCACCGTTGCATCGCCGCACGGCTGTCAGGGCATCGCGGCGCAGTGGCTGGACACCACGGCCGGGGGGGCCCTCCGTGAGGCGCTGCGGCGATGTTTTTAGCTGGATGGAGCTGCTGAATCCCAAGCTGCTAAGACCTGGTCGGGGCGAAACCTGATCCACCAAAGGGTAGGGGGCTTTGACCGTTTTTGACCCATCCCTACCCTTTCACCATTTCTGTCAGCAGTTGTCGATCACCTGGGTGACCGGAGCATTTCCTTGGACTCCGAACGAAGAGGAGTTTGGCCCCAGGGAAGGGCGACCGGTGTTTTTTCCGGCGTCTGCGTGTGAAGATCGACCAGCAAATGAGAGACACCGTTGAGGGAACCAAAAGAGTTCATGCTGCCAGTGAATCCACACGTGACATCTGCCAATTTACCAATCTGCCAAATTTGAAGATCGACACGTGAATTCTTGCTTAAGATGTCTGCCAAGATCCTAACACGATCTAATTAAAACCATAAACCGCCGGACACGTTCTGATTTTGGATGGTTCTCCCGATCGCGAGGACATGACCCCCTGCAAGAGGCATAAGGCATCAGCACTGCCCCCTCAAACTCCTGGACGGATCACTGGTCTTCTGGTCTCCAATTGTTGGGTGTCAAAACTGCGGTTGGTGAGCTGTAGAATTCTGGTGCAAACATATGCAACCCGTTTCCATAACAGAAGAAGATTGCTTTGGCTCAAAAAAACGATGAAGAGCAGAGCAGTAAAACGCCTTCTTCTTCCAAAACACCGAGGCCAAGATCGCCTCGGAAGCCTTGGTGCGGGTGGATGCACCTTGGACCGAAGGTGGTGACACCAACCGCGGCAACAACGCCTCTGGGCGGGGGGACAGAGGAGATTGGACAGTGGCTCCAGAACGAACATTGGAAGGTGCATTCATGTTTGGCTGTGTGGTGTGTTGGAGACACTCACCTCGCGTTGGGCGAAGAGCTTCGTGGGCTTCGGTCAATGAGTGGCGTGACCACCCCCGCCCACGAAGGTCAATCAGTCTCTCTGAGAATGTTTGCTGAAGCCATCAACACTGTTCAGCCACCCCAAAAACGATCTCATCCATCCATCCAACAGAAGAAAGAGCTCAGTTTTCGTGGATGTTGTCTTGGATTTTCCGCACCACCGGCGCTTTTTTGGGCCACTGGCCAGTTCTACCATGCCGGGGTAGAAACACCCCCCGCACCGTTGGTACCCTCTGTACCCGTCCGGTCTCCGGTCTCCAGGTCTCCAAGATCCGATGCCAACTTCAGGGCTTCGTTCAGGCCGCCGAGGGAGCCGGGTCCGCGGAACCAGAGCCGCGCAGCTGACTGAGCGCCGATTCAGTGGGATTCGAATGCGGGCGAACACGGAGCGTTGGTGGGGAAGTCGTGTTCTAGCTGAAGGCCCTTGCTTTGAGGAAACGACACGGTTTGAGCGTGAAATCGTAGGCTTCTCGAATTGAAGTCTGAATTGCGGAGTGCTTTTGGGAAGAGATGAGATCCACTTAGCACTTAGCACTTCGAGGACGTTTCACTCTTTAATACAAGGGAAAGACTTTGAAAGAGTGTTTTTTCCCGGACTTCAACAGTCTTAGTTAAGTCAAACCAAACCACTCCAAACTGTACCTGGACCCCCAGTCGGGGTGGTTCATCGACACATCAAAGGAACTCTAATGGGCTATTAATGGACACCCTTTTCTGTGGTGCTGGTAGATGCATGCTGCATGTACATGTTTTCTTTTGGTTGGACACAACGTCTCTTCGGCTGATCCCCATTGATACTCTCCGGTGCTCGTCTCCTCTCGTGCTCTCCGGGCTCGGATCCGGTGCAGGTCTTGAGCGACTCTTCGAATGATTTGGCCACGGATCCGGCAGGGGGACCTCGTGGGCACGTGAAGCGGCGAGCGGCGAGAGCGGTGGAGAGCGGCGAGAGGGAGAGCGGCTCGACACGAACGGTGAGACAGGTGGTGAAACATGGTGAAGCCTCCGGAAGACCGGTGATCCACATAATGTGACCACCATTGTTATATAAATGAGACACCAGGCCCAGAGCCAGTTCGTCATGGTTTTCGCTTTTTTCCCGTGAAAACGGTGATAGCGGGCGGATGCTTGGACATGCTTGACATGCTTGGGTAGTTTTCATGTACGTCCTTACGTCCTTGGATAGTTTTCATGTGTCTATTCTCTTGCATAGTACCTTGCTTCTCCCCGAATCCAGATGCCTGTTTTCAACTCACCCCGATCTTCGGTCTCACCGATCTCTGCTAGTTTTCCATGCTCACTTTCGGTTTCCTCGGCAGCCGAAGAGCCTCCCCCCCCCCCTGCAGGTGGTGATCGAATTGCGGGATACTGTGGATGCGTGGCCGGCGGCCGAGTGGATTGGAGGTTGATTTCCGACGAGCTCCGTGTCGCCGCGACGGCTGCGACGCGGCCCGATTCGAGCGCTGGAGCTTTGGGCCCTGAGGTTTGCGGAGCGAGTGCCAGTTTGGGCGCAAATGACTGGCCCGGCCATGGGTCTGGGCCTGAGAAGATCCCCAAAAAGCCGCCTGATTTAGAGAGATGTGAGAATAGACTGGAGAAAGCAACACGCCAGGATTACCGGTAAAACCGGTTCATGAATGGACTACCTAAACCTTGCACCCCTCCCAGCTTGGGCGGTTGGCAGGTATATGTGTTCGATTGTATTCGTCAAGAAAGGCGCATGCAGGTCATTTTTGTCAGTCGAGTTGGAACGGAAGGGTTTCCCGGGTCATTCTATCTCCCAGGAGTTCCCAAAGGGGTGCCGGGTGCCTATTGGAGGATAGGGGTGCCCATTGTGCACTCACTTGGGTCACTTAAGGCCAAGAATCATAAAAGATCATTAATAAAACAACAACAACAACAACAACAACAACAACAAC